CAGTTCCTCTCACTTACTGTCCTCTCAAATAAATGCAAAATGGCAAAAATAAAGAGCAAAAAAAACAAAAAAAAAAGAAGAAGAATATCGGTCTAGAGGGTTGTGCAAAACCTTTGCACACACACGCACACAGATATAGCAAGACCCAGTACGCTGTGATTGGCGACCAGATAGTATTTCAGTACTTTCATGCCTCTTGTCAACTGGTCAAAGATCAAAACTAATCAGTGTTTGTAACAAAATAATATTTGAATACACATTGTGTTTTAGCAAAACAAAACATTTACAGCTTGTAAAATTATTCTGGTGTCTTTAGACATGGCAATGATAATAATAGTACACATAATCCGACCATACTGCGCACAATAGATACACCCCATATAGGAAGCAGTTTATTCTATTCTTCTGCAAGTTAAACAGCCACTTACTTTAATGTATTTTGGTAGAATTATTATTTTTACGTGTTGTAAATCCAGCAGCTCTAATCTCTTCACTGCAGACTAACATGCCGGCATCAATTGGCCACCATAGCTAATATGATCATTAATAAGATTTTTATAGAATTTGAGAATGTTTCAGAATATCAAATATTTCACGATACAATCAATTTGAGTCAATTTGATTCAAGAAGAATAGTGGTCAAGTTGGCACTGATACCCTAGTGGCTAAGTGTGCTAACATATACTGTAGTGCAATTAAGCTGAGGGCGCTCCAAGTTCGAGTTCCAACTCACAGACGTTTCCTGACCCCATCTCCATCTATACCTTACTTAAGTTCCTCTCACTTACTTACCTCTCATAACAAAAGCAAAATGCCATAAATAAATAGTTTTTAAAAAAAGGATAACGGTCTAGAATATTGTGCAAAACCTTTGCACACACATATAGCAAGAAATATGACAGTGGTGAGAGGGTTATTTTTGTTGTAAACCCCTGCCCACACCACAGCCACTCAAATTTCCATAGACAGAATTTTAGCCACTAAGTAAGATCATTGAATCCCAGAAAATAAGATTGTAGTCTAAAGGAGCCATTGTAATTCTTGAAAAAGGATTTATTTAAACACAATATCTCCATTTAGAGTGAACTTTTAAATTAGTATATATTTATACCCAAACAATACAAACTACACACTGACTACAGTTTAAAAAGTAAAACAGCATAATAACACACATTTAATTAATGTTGTCCCCAAAATGACAGTACCGTATAAATGTATGTTTGCTTGTATAGGTATATTTCACTTAGAAATTACACAAACCTCTTTTTAATTTCTGTCTGTCTGCTCCAATATTCCAGCAGCTATTCTTTGTTAAGACATGAACATACTAAAAAGACTAAGTGTTCTGCAGTTACTTGTTTTACTGGGCATTTTACATCCTATTACTCTCACTATATCAAGATAACAAAGAGCAATTCTAAAGTCCAAACAGAACAAGAGGTCTAAACAATTTGATGTTCCTCTTTAAACCACACGTGGCCCTTACAGGAAGGATAATACAGACTGGTGCTACTTCCTTTCTGTACACATTATTAAATGCTGACAATTATACACAGGTGGCCCAGGCTATGAAATGCATCATGCAATCCATTTTATTTTTAGATGGCTCAAAGTGTTTATATTTATAAACAAACCTAAGTACTTTCATTTAATGAGAACTAAGGTATTTTATTTGAGCACAGTTTTATGATTCAGTGGAAGTGTTAAAACAGGTACTGAAGATGGATTATTTTTTTGCTTAAAAAGATCAATTGGTTTGGGAAAATAAAACAATTTAAAGTGTGGATAGGATGAGACGGATTCAAATGCTGAGATCTTGGACCAAAGTAATAACATAAAACAATCACTTAAGTAAACAAGTATAAAGAACTCTACAATTCATATTTAGAGGTTTCTATGGCAGTATGTATTGGCATTGATTTGCTCCTACAGTCAGCAATATGACAATAAAAGAGAAATATATATAGAAGGGATATAAAGTTAAAATCAGAATTATTAAACCCTCTTTGATTTTTTTTTTCTTTTTTAAATATTAACCAAATAATGTTTAACAGAGCAAATACATTTTCACAATATGTTTGATACTATTTTTTCTTCTGGAGAAAGTATTATTTGTTCTATTTCGGCTAGAATAAAAGCAGTTTTAAATTCAAAAGGTCAAAATTATGAGCCTCTTTAAGCTATTTTTTTTCGTTAGTCTACAGAACAATCATTATAAAATGACTTGCCTAATTATCCTATCCTGCCTAGGTAATCTAATTAAGCTAGTTAAGCCTTTAAATGTCACTTTTAGCTGTATAGAAGTGTCTTGAAAAAAATATAGAGTAAAATATTATGTACCGTCATCAGGGCAAAGATAAAATAAATCTTTAAAAAAAATTATTAAAAATGAGTTTTTAAAACTATTATGTTTCGAAAAAAAAAACATAGAGAAAAACATTCTCTTCATTAAACAGAAATTGGGGCAAAAAATAAACAGGGGCTAATAATTCTGACTTCAACTGTATATGTACAGTATATATATAATAACAACGTAATCTAACAAAATACTGTATTAGTGGTGCACTGTGGTACGGTAGGATTTTAATAAAACAATAAAAGAAAATAAATAATAAGTGCCTGTCCTTTGTGTCCAGAATGGGATGCTCTAAAACTAAAATTCACTTATGCATTTGCATTAACAGAACTGGTTTATACAGTTAGCATGTCTAAAATGCTTTGTAAGTGATGCAACTATGATAAGAAATAAATATTTTGGGTTAGTAAGGGGATGCAGATCAGCAGGTGACAAAAATAGAATTTAATAAAACTTAATAATAAAACGATATTTATCCATAGTGCACAATTTAAAAATAAAAAACTGGACTAATTTTAGCACAATATGAGCAAGAAATGCTGTTGACAACTAAATAAATGATACAAAAATGAGTAATTTAATAATTCAATTAATAATAATAAGTTTTTTTCTCTCTTTTCAGAACTGCTTCTCAATCTAATCCAAATCTGATTCATCTAACAATTTCTTTGTTTTTTGTTTTTGTTAGTTTTTTTATAGAGGATAAGGAGCCATCTCTCCAACTCCATAGTTAAGTAAGCTAACTACTTTAAAATTTTACTTTAGAATTTAAAAAAAAAATTAAAGTGACATAGAGAAGCGATCTCTGTTTGATTTATCAGTGAAAAGGAAGCAAGTGTACATCTACAGAGGCCTCACCATGGTCATGTGAACATACATCGTACAAATCAATACTTACAAATTACGGGAAAAGAAACAACTTCATAATTTAATGAGCTATAAACACTATAATTGCATCTAGGAAAGCAAAAGGATAAGGAAACACAAAAGTCAATCTTGACCAGTAACATTCTAAAACATCTGACTGTCTTTTGTTTGCATTTGTCTTGTAGTGTTGTGATATGTGTAGTTAGACTGCAATGTGGAAAGTCAAATAAAGTAGGCTTACCCACAGCCACCAACAGCAGGAAGGACAGAAGTGGTAAGCCATCTTTCTATAAAGCAAATCTTTATATTTTACGCAAAAGAGTGCCTCGAAGCATATCTATCTGACCATAGACAGATCTGAATGCTCATTACTTCTCTACCTCACTCTGTGTCTCTGTAAGTCCCCTGTGCCAATGAGCCCACGATGATGTAAAAGTGACTCTATCGGTGACCAATACTGAGAAAAGATGAGAGTGAGTGAGAGAGATAGAGAGAGAGAGACTTCCTCTACAAAAGCCATATGTATACACCCACATCCCTCATAACAAGAACAAACCCAAACATTATATTTCTAGTTTCCATTTCAATGGTTTCCATATCAAACTAAGTTAAAGCTGTAATATTCCCATCAGATTAGCAGTATTTTACAGCTTGTGAATCATAAAAAAATATGCTGTAATACTTCATTTATACAGCAGATGGCGATGTGTATTAACTCAAAGGCTCTGTAAAAAGACAACAAGCCTTATGGAACAAATTAATCACTGGAAAATCTTTCTTCACTCTGAAAGCGTCAATAAACTCACACAAACTATCAAATTCTCTGTTCATTAAAGCAATCTTAAATCCTTTAACTCGGGGGTCAACAAACTTGTTCCTGGAGGGCTGATTTCATGCAGATTTTAGCTCCAACCCTAATTAAACACACCTGAACAAGCTAATCAAGGTCGTTCTAGGTATACTTGACACCCAGGCAGGTGTGTTGGGGCAAGTTGGAGCTAAACCGTGCAGGGACACTGGCCCTCCTGGACCGAGATTGGTGACCCCTGCTTTAACTCGATGTTTCTTTAAATCGTTATTTTGTCTGCACGTATACCCACATTCAAATTCTCAATACGTTTCCTCTTGTCCACACACTTATGATCTGCTTTACATTGATTTGCTGCTCAAAGTCTTACCCACTACCAGCAACTTTGATATGTTACAAAAATGCTCTGCCATTACACAGTAACTTTAAGGCACTCCTTCTTTCTGTCATCAGACTGCATTCCTGCACCACCCTCTCAATCACAAGCTTGAGTTACCTTCTGTCCAATAAAACCATACATATAAATAGAAAACAAAAAGTAGACATTAGACTTTAATGACTCTCAGCCAAAATGACTGTCAATATGCTTATACAGTCATCAAATACAAGCATACATTATTAGTCAAGCACTGCATGCCAGAAAGAGTCAGATGACAGCTGTTATTCACATTGCTGAGGAACTTCTCCAACATCTGGTGCTTAAAAGCTGGTGACATCATTAGAAGCAAAGCACTTTCTCCATCTTTGGTTTTGTACACTTTCCGTTAGAACATGGTGAAGAACTCTTATGTAATATGCTTGCTGGACCATGTCTCTAGTATGCCTGGGTCATACCCTTTATACTTTTCAGCTTTTTTGAATATAATCTATTATGTCTGACTATTCATCACTTTGCCGTAGGTTAAAGAAATGGTGATTCAAATACTAAACCCAAATAATAATCTATAATCAAAGCATGCTTTTTCTTACCGATCTTTCTCCATCTCTTTCTTTGTGTGCACTGCGACTTCTGCGAGTTCTCACATGGGCAACCGGACCATCGGCAGAGCTTTCTGTTGGGGCAGATCTTCGACACATACTCCTTGAACGTTTCTACACAAACACACAGATAAAAAGTCAAGTTTCCTCTGTGTATTCATGTGATAAAGAATGCAACATGACAGGAAAATAATTTGCTAAACCCAATAGTTGGGTGGTTCTGCATCAAACTGACCAGTGTCAGGTGGTGTATAGAGTTTCTTCCTCACCTGCTGTACTTTGTCCCTGTGTGAGGTACGGTTCTCTCTCTGTCCCTGGGAAGCCAGCTCCCAGTTTGGAGTCCATATAGGATCAGAAACAGACAGGGCTGAGGCTTGACTTCTGGGTCTTGAAGTTTCTTTTCTAGATAATGGTGTTGGGGGAGAAGAAACTGAATCTCCAATTGACCCTACATTTAAAGGTACTGAGGTCCAGCATCTCTCTGGAGCCAGTATAGGTGCTGCACTGGGTCCAAGATTTGGTTGTGCAGTCATCATAGGGGTTTGAATTTGAACCATGGGTGGTGCAAGAGTGGAATACTGTACAGGAGTAAAGATTGGACCCATGCAAGAGGTTGAACTGGGCGCCAAAATGTTACTTAAACCTCTATCCTCTGGCCGCAAAAATTGTTGCTCAAAACCACCTGGTCTGGTGCTAATTGGCCTTCTGGATCCCTCCATGGGTGATACCCAAAGAGGTTCATCTACAGTCAACTCTGTTTCAGAATGAGCCCAAACACTGGTTTGATCAGGTGGCAAAGCTGAGATGGATTGCTGAGCGCCAAAGGCCCAATCTGAGGTGTCAATTAATGAGTGAGGTTGTGGCCTAGGTTTTTCTGTAGCATATGCGTTTGACATAGGTTGGGTTTGGTGCAGAACTTGGGGTTGCAGAGGTGGAGGGAGTTGAGTTCTCATACGTTCTGTTGGGGAGGGCTGGAAGTAAGTCTGGGACTGAGGGTAGAACTGGGGATGAGGAGGAAACTGAACTTGAGATGCTGCTTGAGAATGGAGAATGTTCGTTTGCGTGGCCTGAGGACGAGCTTGTGTCATGGAACCACCTATTCCAGACTCTACACTTACAAATCCAGTTAGAGGGAAGATATTAGATTGGGCTTGGCTCTTAAACGAGTCAATGTCTAATATACCTGGTTTGTAAATTTCATCAGGACGAAGTGTGGGCTGCTTCCATCGAGCAGTGGGGCTGTTATCATGACTGTCCCGAGCAGTCCTAACACCCAGAGACACAGCATCCAGATCTAAAACTTTGGGTCGTAGTGGAGATGTAGGCTTTGCCATCTCTTGTTCCATCTCTTTCCGGTGTTCTGTTCCTTTGTGCCATTCAACCTGATGTTGTTTTTCATCCCGTTCTTTTTTTGATCTTTGTCTCACTTGGTCTTGCTGGAGTGGCCTTTCCCGTATTCTCTGTGACTCAAAATCAAGAAGCTGTTGTTTCTCAAGCTCCTTGATCCTCTCAAGTTCCTCTAGTTCTTTCTTCGCCTCCCTCTCCTCTGCTTTTTGTCGAGTCCATCTCTCAATATCCAGGTCCATCTGCTTCTGTCTTTCAAATTCTTTCTGCTTTTCAATCTCCTTCTGTCTTTCAATCTCAAGCTGTCTCTCCAATTCTCGTTGCCTTTCAAGTTCCCTTTGCCTGTCCAATTCTTTCTGCCTTTCTAAGTGTCTCTGTTTTTCCCTTTCCTGCTCTTTTTGTTTCTCCAGCTCTCGCTGCCTCTGCAATTCTCGCTGTCTTTCGATCTCCTTTTGCCTCTCTATCTCTCTTTGTTTTTCCAGTTCTCTTTGTTTTTGTCTTTCAATTTCCCTCTGTCTCTCCAACTCCAGCTGTCTCTCCCTTTCTTTCTCAATCTCCTTCTGTTTTTCAAATTCTCTAAGCCTAAGCCTCTCTTGCTCAAGCATTCTCTCTTTTTCCCGCTCAAACTCTTTTTGCCGTTGCCTCTCAAACTCTCTCTGCTGTTCAAGTTCTCTTTCTGCAGCCTTCATTCGCTCATATTCAATTTGCTTCAGTTTCTGACGTTCAATTTCTCTTTGTCTCTCTATCTGTCTCTGTCTCTCCCTCTCTTGCTCTCTCTGTCTTTCCAACTCCTTTTGCCTTTCTTTTTCTTTCTGTATTTCAGCCTCCCTCCTTTTCTCTCTTTCAATTTTGCTTTGTTTCTCTATCTCCAAGTCTCGTTGTCTCTTCATTTCTCGCTGCCTTTCTAACTCTTTTTCTTTTTCAATTTCTGCTATCATTTGTCTGTCTATTTCAAATCCTTCCCTAACTGCTTTCTGCCGTTCCCTTTCTTGTAATTTGGTATCTGTTATTGGTCCTGCTTCATTTTTATTCTCCAGCGAATCCCTCTGCATTGCTGCATCTAATGAAGGATTTCTTCTAAATGGAGCAATTGAAATCTGTGGACTCCACTGCCCTGACCTAATAGCGAAGTCATCAAATGGAACCTCATGATTTATGCCACTGGCCTCTTCACCCACTTCTCTGTGTATACCTCTCCTGAAGACTGCTTCCTCCTGCACTCGCTCACCTTGATAAACAGGCTCCTGAATCTGACCAGTCAGAGCAAAGTAAGTGGCTCTAGGTTTGTTCGTCTGGTCTTCTGCATCTAGCATCTTAGGCCTTTTGGGTGCTGCAACTTCCTCTCGTTCCCTTTCCATGTCTCTTTGTGCTTCTGACCATTTCTTCCTTTCTGCTTTGCTCTCTTTCTCTTCTTCCTCGAGTGCTGCTGCTGCAGCAATGTGCAATTCCGTTTGTCTCCTTATTTCTTCTTCCATATTTTTTACCATCTCTTTCTGTCGCTCCCTCTCAGCTTCAAACTCTATATCCGTCTCTGTGGCATTCCATTTCTGTAGTGCCCCAACTCTGAGGTAACGTGGCATGGTTGCATCATCCTTCAGATAATTAGTAATCTCATGGGTAGGTTTTCCCTTTTCCACTTGAGGAGCTGATCGCCGTGAACGTAGGGTAAGTGCTCTGTCCTCAAGTTGAGCAGTTGGCAAAGCCTCACTTACAGCACGACTCTCTCCAGACAAAGCCACAGTGTCAAAGACATGCTCCACACGTACAGGGCTAGAAGGAGAAACTTGTTCTCTATAGGTCGCTTTGACCAAGCTACCAGGATCATCATCTTCAGAAGCATTAAAGGCACTGTCTTGAATCCGCAAAGAGTGGTTTCGTCTGGGCATGGGTTTAATTGTGCTTTCCCGGTGTGCTCTAGGGCCTTGTAAAGGGTTATCCTCCATCACTTGAACATTGTGCCTTTCCACCACATTCTCAAACATGGACGCTCGTACTGTTTGGACTCCATCACTGCCAAAAGTGGACAGTGTAGGCAAGTCCTGAACACTTGTTGATACTTTCTTGACCTCCTGTCTGTTGAATTGTCCTTCAGTTGTAGAGAAATCAAACTTGAAAAGAAAAAAATATGTTTTACATTTTTTACTTAATTTTATTTGCCATACCTCTTGTGCAGCAAAAACTTAAGCTTTTCTATTCATTTGCCGATTCCCTTCTTTATCTCGGGTTATGTAGTTTCATGAGTAAGCAACAACCAAGAGCTTAGATTGATTTTCAGTCAGACAAAGTGAGCTCTGTCTACAACGGTGATCTTTAAAAGAAGTAGCCTTTAACAACCCCCAAGTGTAATTATAGCTTTCACTGACAGGTATGACATTTAAAGGTAACAATTTCTTTGCTATGTTATGAGCTATCATTACAGTAAAGGCTGTGTACAGAATGCCTATTACAAGATTGATTTTGAGTCAAATTTAGAGAGGCAATGAAACATGTTTATAATGCAAAAGGCATAGTTGAACACAGAAAGAATCTGATATACCCATATGTGATTAGAAAGAGATTTTCAAATTTTTCAAAATATAAAACTGGTGTTCAAATTTATATTAAAGTACAAAATAATGAAATGGAAACAAATGTTTTAGAGATTGTATTGGGAAGGGTTTGCTAACAGTACTAAAAATTTAAAGTAAACATTAAGAGTACTTGAAAAGGGAGAAGAGCATGACAAGTGTGACCGAGATCACTGAAATGGGATATACATGCTCTTTGTCAAAGCTCATAAGGAAGGGTGGGGCACGAAGGGGCCATAATCAAAGCCTCCTCTTCCCTCTCACAAACAAACCTTTCCCACCCCTCTTCCCTCCAAAGCATGCATGTTTCATAATCACAATATGACTAATGCCACAGCTCGGGTTACACATCTTTGGAGTGCCGCACCTTCAGTGACATCAGGTGTTTGACCTCATTTGTTATTCCTCTCTCCCTCAGAATGAAATCCTTACATTTATTATTTCAAAATACCAAGCAATGTTTGTTTTGGGGCTGCAAGCAGCAGTAAGCCATTTACTGTCCTAAATTTCATAACAAATGGCCAATTTCTACATTTATTGTCATAATAAGTGGCATATCGAATAACTTAATTAAGGTAAGAACACAAAAAACAAGGCTCTTAAAATTTAAAAGAGCTATATGAAACGCTAGGTGTGCCATGCTGCTCCCTAAAAATATTATGCAGTATGATTAATGGTAGTGATCACAATTCCATACCTTTTTGTTTAGATCTTCAACCTGCTGGGGGCCTTTGGACTCACTGGAATTAGGGCCTTCGAGCTCTATTTGAAATCTGCAAAAATTAGGGTAATTAGAAAAAAATAGGTCTTGTCAAAATGAATCATGATGAAAACAAATCAAAATTGTAATGTTCATAGCACCTCGGCACATAATATACATTTTTGCATACTGTGGCAAAGAGTTTGCCCATGGAATGATAATCAGCATCAGGGTTTACCGCTAAAATTTTACCAGTATCCCCAGCAGCAAATAACTATGCACCTCAAAAGCTACTGGTCAGCCCAAGATTCAGACATTTAAAAGAAGTGACCACAATGCAGTGACACAGTGAAATGTTTAAGGGTGCTTTCACACCTACACTTTTGTTTTGGAACGTATCTCGTTTGCCCAGTTAGCGCGGTTCGATTGGCATATGTGAACAGGGCAAAGTAATCGCTCCGAGATCGCTTGAATGAGGTGGTCTCGGCTCGATTGAAACGAACCCTGGAGCGGTTTGATTGCAGTGAGAAAGCGATCCGATCCGAGCGCTGTTATATCACAGTGTTTCGTGGATATGTAATAGGCTTAAGGCTATATGAAGAGAGAATTATGAGTAGGGCAGGAAGTTTCGCGAGTCTCCGGATGCCCGCAAACGAGTGTTGATCTCCCGGTAATCTTGCGTCTCCCTCCCGGTCCTCAAATAGGCATCGTCGCGCACCCTTCTCACCCCTCCCCACCGCATCTCTCCTCAGACACGTCACGTTAATCACCACCAAACCACCACCTCTCCTGACAGCTTAGCGGGACGCTGCAAAATAAACCCTGACACTGACCAAGGAGAGTTTACTCGCACGTGACTTGTTTTAGCTCTTTTGGTCCGTTTAGAAACTTTGCAGTCTGAAAGCGAACCGCTCCAAGAGCAAAGAGCAACAATGTAACATTTGTAATCTCTGTTTCGGAACAACTGAATCGATTCACAGGTGTGAAAGCACCCTAAGGAAGGTTATAATACCATGAATTTTAAAATAGCACTTGCATATATTTTAAGTATTACATGACAGAGGTCTGCATAAAATACTCAGGTATATACACTTTTAGGTCACACTTTATTTTAATGGTCTGTTTGTTGAATTTAAGTTACATTGCATACATGCCAACTAAATCTCATTAGATTATAAGTAGACTGTTGACATGTACTTACCAAGTTGCTTATAGTAAGTCAAATGGACCACCAAAATAAAGTGTTACCCACTTTTACAAAAAAAAAAAAAAGGTAAACAAAATAATAACATTTACTATGCATTTTGATGCATAAGAGCTAAAATACTACCTAAGTGTAAAAGTAAAAAAAGAAAAACAGAGAGTTCCAAAGACATTAATTTGATTCTGGCCAAAACCTCTTGAATGTTACAAATTCTTAAAGACATATGTCAAACGGTAAAGGCATTGTTCTGAGCTACAGCATCAACATAGCAGACCTCTACAATGAATGTTGCAAATTCACTGGGCCTTACTTTTTAGTGCGGTCGGATATTGGGTTCCGTGGCTTATATTGTGGCTTCTGGGGTTGTGACAGTGTAGTAGGTACTTCATCGTTCAATTCTTTGACTCGCTGTTTTACTCCCATTGCTCCATCAGTTTCAGAGAGAGAAAGCCCAGGTGAAAGAGGTTCCGTCCCTGACATATCTACACGCACAGTTGAGAAGGATGAGGAAGAAGAGTCCAAGAGCAGGCTGATGCGTCTCTTTATAATGCTACCTCCTGTATCCTCAGCTTTAGGGTCCTTTCCGGAGTCCTCATCTTTCAGATTTATCTTCTGAGTCCTATTCTCTGGCAAAGAGGCCTTTTTTAGCATTTCCGCCCCATCAGCACCATATTGTTTCTCTTGAGGTACAACTTTAACAGCCTCTGGTGTTTCAGGAGTGTTTTCTTTCCCATCCTCTTGGGCTGCTCGCCGGTTTAGGGAAAGACCAATTGACTCAAACTTTGAGGTAAGGTCAGATGAAAGGGGTCGTGCTTTTCCCCAACGAGGAGCAGGTGTAGGGGGTATAACCTGAGGCTCAGACTGTGCAGAGTTTTGAAGAAACACAGCTGAAACTGGTCTTGGTCTGGAACCTTTAGTTTGGGGCCGAAGAACAGTTGGAGAGTTTTCATCCTTGGCACCAGTCTCCTCTTTACAGTCCTCATAATTGAGTCCAATCTCTGATAAGAAACCTAATGATTTAGCACGAGTGATTGAAGGGCCAGACTGCTTTTTCCGAGATAAAAATGGCCATTCAGCACCAGGAGTGGAGGCATGACTATCGGTTTTGTTTCCAAAACTTGTTCTTCTTAGCATGGCTCCAGAATAAGAGGTTCTAGACTTGTTGGAATCCACAGAGGCAATAGTAGGTGCTGGTTTAAAGGGTTGTGCCACAAGTTTGTTTGTTTGTCCGCTGGGCTTGGGGCCCATTTTAGAGGCAGATGGCAGACTAGGTTTACTGGCTGGCTGAGGTTTAGGTGTGCTGGGTAGGTCTGGCTTGTAGGAAACTGGTCGAGTGGACTCAGACCTAGGTTTTGGATGTGGTTTGGGAGCAAGAATGGGGCGTATAGAAGGATTTTTTTCCACAGTGTATGGTTTCGGAGTAAGTCTGGGCTTGGGGCCCAGGACAGGTTTGCTAGGCTCCGAGACATTAATAAGTGGCCCCTGGGGGGCACCTGAACTCTCCATTAAGCTCGTGGTGCTAGAGTCTATGAGAGCACTAAGGTGCAGACGACTCCCGACCACACATGGCCGCCCAGTATCAACCTCAACCTGGGCAGCCATTGGACCACCTGAAACAATTAAAAACATAAAAATTAATTTATTTAGATAATAATCACTTCTATGAATAATTTAACATGAGTGTGATCAAATCTCTAGATAGTGAAGAGTCTGTAGGCTGTTGGTTTGTAGAACGTAGCCTGACACTGTATGGTAGTCAAGTGAATCATTTCCTGACAGCCTTTGTTTGTTGCCAAATCCTTTTCTCATAATGTGCATACAGTTAAGCTCTGCTCAACACTGCCTCACTGTCAACAGTCAGTCTTCAGTACAAATCACAGGCTCTCACTAAAACAGTTTGCCTTATTGAACCTCATCACTGCCAGTGCAAATCCTCCTTTAGGTTGGCAGGACAAGTCTATATTCAATTGAACCCACTGGCCAATTTTAGCAGGATTTAACATCCACCATGCAAAATGGATCTCAGTGCTATGATTTTATACTGCGGAACAAATCAGTGTTCTCAGAAATGTTGTTCTGATGGGGTGTGTCTATGAACCCAAAGAAAAATGCTCTCTAACCCTCTCCTTCTCTCCTGCTATGGACTTTGCCTTGGCACATCGAGCGCTTTACTGACACATCATTAATCATGCTGTGAGAGTGCATGTGTACGGGTGTATTAAATCAGCATGATTGGACATTGCCCAGGAGGGAGGGATCAATTTGCTGAATTAAGAGTCCAGACTGAGACCAAATCTGTGCGTAGAATCCTGGTACTACAGGCAAATACAAAAGGAATTCACAGGAGGATCCAGAGAGCCATATTTGCTAATGCAATACACATGTAGATCTGGAAGCCGCATGCTAATACAAACACGTGTTCACGCTTAGACACACAGACTTTTGCAAAGCACAATCACTCGCATTTTACACTGTTAAAAATAAGTGTCAATAATAACCTTCACGTCTGTATGTGCACATGCATTTCACATGCTTTCCCACGCAGTTATTAAATTGTGCTTTGTCTGCAATTTCCCCAACACCACAACAATAACTCACCTGCCTGGCTGTCAACCGTCTGCAGTGGAGCCCTGGTTTCTGTGGTAACCGCAGAGTGATGTCATATCATGGAGAGGAGGCGGAGCCAGACTCTGTTGCAGGGAATACAGCATGGTCAGACACCGTTACTACTGCACAATTAAGGTATCAGACAATGTCCTTTGTGATTTTGAACCCTACACGAGGACTTTTTAAGGCACAGAACACTCTTAACACACTTGAGCCTGCATCTGAAACCTAAACATTATTTTCCAACATGCAAATTAGACCTGATCAGTCTCTTTTACAAACAAATGAGTACTCAGAAAACACCAAGATTCTTGTTTTGAACATTTACCAGCATGACTGACCTACATCTACAGATTACTAAACAAACCAACACATCTGATATGTCTCCGCTAGTGAAATCCTAGCTGTGTGGTTGCGAAAGGGGGACAGAAGTAGTGACATGGAAGGAAGGGGACAGCAAACCGATCAGGAGAAAGAACGACAGCAAAGGAAGGAAAGGAGGAGGATCCTGATCAGAGTGCATGAACTGGTATGCAGTCCTTGTTAACAGGAAACGCCTCTGCAGCTGGAATGTTTAATATCTACAGCTTCAAAACCAGTGTTTAGGGAAGTTAATTCTGGCATCCCGTAGAGACACTTTTACACACAAACATGATCTAGTTTGAAACATTCAAACAAATCTTTGTAGATTTTTTTTACTATTATTATTAAAGTGACTTGTTTTACATAAATCTTTTAATATTTCTCGGTAACAGCAAACTTTACAATAATTACAACAATACTAAAAAAAGACTTTTCTTTATCACAACAAAATTAATAAATTAATTACACTCATTTCACAGTGCACAAATCAAATATCGGGAGGGTGGAATTGATAGTTAATAATGTAGCAATTCAAATGTGATAACTCCATATCACTTTATTTTGATTCATAATTATAATTTATTAATATGTTTTTGATTTTGGTGACATGGCACAGAAAATTTTTTTTACATTCTTAATATATTATTAATTTCCCCTTACTTTATAACAAAACTAGAATTAAATTTCAATTAAATCAATACATATGGCTTAATGAAACCCATCTGATTTTGTAATACATTTAAAAGTAATTATTTAGTAATTATTCTCATTTCATTGTCTAAGACTTATTATTATTATTATTATTATTATTATTATTATTATTAATATTATTATTATTATTATTATTATTATTATTATTATTATTATTATTATTATTACTACATTAATACAATTACTTAGTTACTTAATTTTATTTTTTTCAGAACTTATGTCCAGCATGTCCAGTTAATCATGAAACCCATTTAATTTAACAGCAACTCTTAAAAGTATAACATAAATTACATTTTAGAAACCTTGTGAAATAAGGTTTAAGGTAAATAAAAAATGTCCCCCTTAAATTCTGTTATTTATTATGTTAAAATTAAAATAAGAAAAAAATAAAGTTGTATATTATTTTTATTTTTATTATTATTACTATTCTTTTACAAAGTAAATTCTACTGTATATATGGAGTCCATATAGGGTCATATATACTTACAAAATAAAAGTTTTGTAAACAAAAAAATCAAGTATTGAGCAATAAATAAATAAATAAATGCAAATCTCCAAAAATCGCAAAGCAAAAATGTATTTTTAAGATTTTTTTTGGTAACAAAAATTAGAAACTGCAAAGGAAAAATTAAGTTTTGAGAATAAAAGAAATTTGCGAACAAAAAAAAACTGCATATAAAAATCAAGCAGAGGAAAAAAAAATTAAATATTTGCATATATTCAGCCTGAGTTTACAATGCTGTTTTCACTTTGCACTTCATGTTTCTGCACATCACTTTGTAGCCCTGATTTGACAAAGGGGCGGAGTCAAAGGAACTTTGGCATTTACAGCAGGCCCGGACTGCCTCCATTTAAGCGACATCATCATCTGGAGACACAGTATTGCCGAGGTGGTCTTGCACAGCTCCGAAGGTCCGGGTCTGCCATAAACGCCCAAGTTTCTTTGACTGTCAAATCAGGGCCACAAAGTGAAACATGCAGAAACGTGAAGTGCAAAGTGAAAACAGCATCGCAAACTCACAGTTGACTAAAAAGCTAATCAAAATGAGCATTGCAATTGACTGGATGTTTTTTGAAAGGCAATGCTAGCTAGCTAGCTATTTATTTATTTATTTTGCTCAATACTACATTTTATGTTCGCAAAACTTTCTTTTATTTTAGATTATTTTTAGATGTCCTAGAGTGACAGAGCTAAAAACAAACTTTTAAAAACTGGATTTTGACCAGTTGTTGTTCCATTAATATTCAGACAAAAATGTTGTTATTTAATAAAATACTAGTCCACATCAAAATGTTATTAAATGAGGATAATTGCATTTTCTATTGATCCAAAAAAATGACAATTTCCATGACATTTCTGAGTAATTTATTTTTGATGACCTAATTTCAACATTCCTTCAGCATTTTCTGCATTACAAAATATAAAAATAAAAAAATAAATAAAAAAATTCACACAAATCACCTGGTGATGGACTACAGTTACTTTTTTGTAAATGTAATGCGAGTTACTTTTTAAGTTTAATAAATGAGCTTCATAAAAAATTAATTGCTGAGTTAAAATTAGTCAATGAATCACACAGCCAATGACAGAATGTGTTCATTATTTTGAATGCATCGAAGAAAAGAAAAAGGGGATTGTCTCAATGGGCAGTGATTTTACTTAAGACAAATAGTACAAGTGTAGCAAACACATTGCTTTAAACTTTCTATAATCTGTATATATGGCATGTATGGCTCTGGGGTCAGGACGTTCTCAGATAGCATTATCCTTAAATATTTATTTGATGTGTTTTTTAAAGGTATATGAAGGATTTCTAATTGCAGAGCTCTATTAAAAATAAAGAAAAAGAAAATAAGTCCTGATAGAAAACAAGCCTAAGCCATGTAATAAAAAGTAATGCAAAAGCAACTCAAAAGTAATGCATTACTTACCATAACATAAACGTAACACAACTAGTTACTTTTTTGGGGAGTAACTCAATATTGTAATGCATAACATTTCCTAGCACTGATACATCAACAAACCTACATTAACCAAAAACTTAAGCACTGGCTAAGAACAGAATATTTAGCCAACACAAACGATTTTACTATTTTTATACAGCACTCAACTTAAAGTCTGTCTAAAACTTCCCTAACAAGTAGAAACTATGGTCTCAAAATTTATCCTGACCTTTGCCAACGAACCAATTGCAATCAAAAAAAAAAAAGTCCAGCACCTTAACTTGATCTTGAAACATAAACCAAGGCTGTAAAAATCAGTCAATCAAATCTGAGATCAGCTTTCAGTGGAAAGTTAAACAAGAAAAGCATCCTCAGGCATTGCGTTAACTGTCCACAAAAAATGTGTCAATTACCAAGTGTCATTTAAAAAGAAGCAGCCAGAGTTCCTGTGAAGATCAGATCGTGTGATGAGATGAGAGACTCCGCTGGATGTTAAACGTGCTCTTCAACTAGGGGTGACACAATAAGAGTAAACAGGTTCACACACAGATGCTGTGTGTAACAATCAAATGAGGTTTACTGTTCTTTAAAACCATAAAGATTTAATGGCTTTATAAGCCCAGTACAGAGAGATAACAAAGACAATTTTACAAGAAATATTCTTGAGGGTTATTTACATTTACACATCTAATAACAGCCAGAAATAAAGCAGGCTAAGCTGTACTGCATTACTATATTTTAGCATTTTTGGGAAATCATGCTGGATAATACATAATAAATTAAATTACTTTAGGAAATTGTAAACATTGTAGCATTCATTTAAGCGGTGTATTTTATTTTTTATGTGTAAGAATCTAAAGAGTAAGTTAAAGGTCACATGAAATTAAAGTAAAAGCCTTTATATGATAGTATCAGTCTTAGTTTTAAGGATATCTATTAGCAAGTGTGCTCCAACACAGTGACAAAACTCAAGTTTAGAAAATACAAAACTGATATAAACTTGAAAGCTTGTAATTTGTCACCTCCGCCTAAATGGATCAACGATTTTTTCATATCACCTCATCCTTAGGCTTCTCATCAAATCTTGACCAATCAAACGCTCTCTAATATCTGATATGCCCCGCCCCCTTCAAGACGCTTTTCACTGGCAGAGCTGAGATAAAAACGTAACACCAAAGGCTGTTTTTTTTTAAAGGGGAGGAGCTACTCCATGTCACAGCCTCTCTTCATATTTCAATTGCGATTACGTCAAGCATCGAATACATTTTTTTTTTCATTTTTCAAAGCACTTCACGAGACGTTTTATGTAAATATATCCTTTTAGCTAATATTTTTCTACCGAGACTACAGTAAATTTGACCATTTAAGTGAAATATAAGTGCTAAAATTATAATCAATGTCAGATTGATTGAAGACTAGAGTTGTTAAAGATGTGATATTTCAGCATGATCTCACGAAGAAAAGTAACTATTTTACGTTCAGTCATATGAAAATGCATGATTTTAAAAAGGAGGCATGGCACCCAATCCCGCCCCTAAACCGTCATTGGGGGATGAGCAAATTGTACTAAATTGCATGAATTCATACGAAATACCTACTAAATCAAAAAGTTACGAATTGCCGTGAGATCATGTCAAATATTTCAACACTGACAGTGAGTTTGGGGCCATATTTTTGTGCCTCCTGTCACATTGAGTAACATTCATTTTATTTAGTGTTATTAAAGTATTACAACCTACACATGAATGTTAAATAATTTCAAATGACCCATCTATTCGAGTAATCTAATCTGATTATGGAAAAAATCATAACCATGATTATTTAGGGCTAGGCGGTATTACGGGTTCTGGAGATATATCGATATTATTTCCAAACACGATCCGGTATTATCCAATATTGTTTATATCGATATGGTTTGAGGCCACACGTGCGCATTCTGCATGAACAGACCACTCCAAGGTAGCACGCGAACTACACTTGCACAAATGTTCGCATGCGAAAATGAATGATTCACTTCATGAGTCGTACAAAAGATTTGTTCAAAATGAACGAATCGTTCAAGAAT